ACTGTTACCTTTTACACTGTGTGTGGGTGGATATTACTGCTGCTTAGAAATACAACTAGTACAAGCCAGCTTAAGGTGTGTAGTTACAAAGAGGACTATGGGAAGGAGAGAAAGACCCCTTGCTAAGCATACTTTAAAGCACACTTATACTCAAAGGGTAAAAATGGCTGTTCTTGTTGGGGAAATGCTTAGAACTATATGCAAATTCATTAAATGCATCTCAGAAGCGTTCCCATGCTAAGAACAACCACTGTGTGTTTCTATCTTAAAACATACTGTTGAGCAGCCACACAGATATTACTCCATCAAATGGTCACTGTGAACTGGCTTTCGATGAACTTCTCTCCCTGGAATCTTCCAAGCCACTGCAGGCTAAGATCCGTGATTTCCATCACAGAGCCTGACCACAGAAAATCAGTAACTAGCAGACTTGACTTCATACTAAAATTACCTCAGGAACCTGAACTATGTATCCATATGTGGTCTTCTTCAGTTAGGGGTGGATACTGAGGTATTGGAAACTATGGCAGAAGTACCTTTGCAAGAATGTGCACATGTGTATGGAGGTCAGAGAAAAGTCTCAACTGTCATTCCTCAGGAGTGTCTACATCAGTTGTGAGACAAGCTCTTACACTGGAGGCTAGTGATCACAGGCTAGACTAGGCTGACTGGCCAGCAAACCTCGGGGACTATTCTATTTCCACTTCTCCAGAGCAATGGGTTACAAGTTTGACACCATGCCTGGCTTTTTTCACATGGGTTCAGAGGAACAGACTCAAGTCCTTCTGCTAGCAAAGCAACTACTTTACCAACTGATAATGTCCCCAGTCACTGGGGAACATTTTAAAAGAAGATCAAATCACTTCTTTTTCGAGGTGGAACTAAATGATATCCTCTCTGATTCTCAATTATCTGGCATCTTATCACAGCTCTATAGTCTCCCATGACATGAATCCCTCTGTTATGGGCCATTATGGTGCCCAACACTGAGATGGGGAAAGAGCCCATGTGGTTCAGAAAGTGCTTACAACAAAAGGCAATGCATTATCCTTTCTCAGAGTAAATACTTTCCTACATTCAAGGTCTTCAGAGTCTTTCATTCACACGAAACCCTGTCTTCTTCCTAGTATATGGCGTCTGGCTTGGAAATACTATTGTCAACCACCAAAGACAATCCTCAACACCTAGGGCACTTGTTTTCTGTCAATCAATATTCCCTGAATGGAAGATTGAACATCTCAGCATGTTCTGCCTATAGGTGAGCCCTTCACTGAAGTCACTGTATGGAAACCACATGAGATTTCCATGATGAGTAACCCAGAGCCCAGAGTTTCCACCTGAGATATTGGGCTCAGAAGGGCCATTTGAGAGTTACATGATCAGCACACCTAAAAGACTTATGAACACGGAACGTACATGTCTGTGACATTCATAGTAGAATAAATATAGTAAGAGACATAATTCACAGTGTACACGTACTCTCGTTATTTAGGAAGGACACTAGAATATGTTTTTATGGAGGCTGATCTAGCTGTAAGGCCCCAAAAGCCACTTAACAGTTACCCAAGGCCTACTCCTCACCTACAACACGAGGAGGGCAGGAAAAGATCAGAAGGTTGAAAAGAAGCCATCAGCCTCTGATGGGGTAATCATTAAATACACAAACCACCAACAATTAGCCTGAGAAAGCAATGGAAAGACCTCATAACTTTAGGCTCATCGGTGAACAAACAATACCTTCTTAATAAACCATTTATTTATATAGCAATCAAATGGACGATCCCAGGAGTAAAGTTAATAAAGTTATACTTTTGTTACATTTTTTACTGGGGAAGAGGAGAGGTGTGTGTACACATGACATGTATAGACCAGAGGACAACTTTCCAGAGTTCCTTTCCTCCAAGCAGGTTCCAGACACTAAACTCAGCTCATCAGAAATGGCAGCAAGCAGCATATTGAGCCAGCATCCTACAATTACTTTTCGAACAGCCTTTGCTCATATGCTTGCTGTATGCTGGTCTTCAAACAGATATTTTTACCCTAGAGTTTAGCAAGTTAAAAAAAGATACAAGTTTCAAGCTGAGTGTGGTGGCCCACTCCTTTATAATCCACTTGAAATGCAGAGGCAGGTGGATCTAGGGAGTTCAAAGCCATCCTGATCTATATAGTGAATTGCGTTCAGCCAGGACTACATCAAGAGACCCTGTCTCAAAAAACAAAACGAACAAACAGAAAATTCTGGATGTGAAAGAAGTTACGCTTTATGTGTTACATTTTTAAATCATGATACACATAATCCATTCTGTGACTTATTTCTCTCAGGTTTGGAACAAGATAGTTAAACACACATGCACACACCTGTGTACACATACACACACACACACACACAGAAAGAGACAGAGAGAGACAGAGACAGACAGAGAGAGAGAGACAGACAGAGACAGACTGAGACAGACTGAGAGACAAGCAGAGGCAGACAGAGAACAGAGATAAAGAGAGAGAGAGAAATTTGGAAGAAACTTCCTAAAGGAAATAGTTGTTTGGACTTGAAGATTCTCTCTATTTGAAAGTTCTTTGCTTGTGATTAATATCTATTACAGCAAAGCATTGTGGGGCATCTGTATGCACAGTTATTATTATTATTGTTACTATACATGGATCAAACACTCCCAGAAGCACAATATTGTGTAATGAATTCATCTCTTTTGTGAGTAACTTTAACAGCACCCCTTTACAAACTATGAATCAATCAAGCACCATTCATTTTCTTTGAAGTGGACTCTGGTATCTGTTTCCAAGATTGCCAGAATCTGCCTCTGGTAGCCCAAAGCTGTGGACTCTGTCAATTCAGGTGCGTTGTTTCCTTGGCTTTGAGGTTGGCTTGTCTCTCCAGGCTAATTATGAAACCTCCTCCTCTTGCCAGGAGAGGCACACAGCTTACAGCTGAGCACCATTATCTTGTATTTCAGAAGTGGGACCTGTCTCCTTGTTTAGCAATGCTGAGAGCAAGAAGCTTTGAAAGGTCCCTGCCTCATCTGGCAGTTGGGGGGGGGGCATCATCCCAAGATTTATAAATATCTCTTAACGAAGCTGCAGTTGAGCTGTGTCGGGCTTGCACACTTTCAGTGTGCTTTGCCAATGTTGCTTTGTTGCAGTTGGCTGGGGTGTGCTTTAAAAAGAAGCACATCGTTAACCACAAAGAATGCTCCCTGTTTTTTGTGATTTCAGATCTCTTGCAGGAACTTCCTCAGTGAGGGGCCCGGCAGCAATGACCCAGATGCTCCACGCTGCTCCCCACAGAATAGCTTCAGTTTTTGAATGGGCCAACAAGCAAGGCCACTACAAATGATGACATATGTGTCAGACTCCATTCACTGGTGATGTCTACCCCCATAGGAAGGGAGAATCCATTTTTGTGCAAATCAAGAGCACATCTGACAATGATGCTCTCTTCTCTCGCTCACACAAACTGGGCATTCATACAGGGGATTACTAGCCTGGAATGGGCACTCACAGTTGCTAAATGGTTCCGATGGGGGTGGAGTTGTTGTGTCAAAGGGGCAAAGAACAGGGGAAGGACAGGAATCCATCAGAGGAATGAAAGTTCGGCTGATAGAAGAAGCTAGTTGGAAAGTTCAGAGTGTTTCCCACCCGGCCTATTGTTACCATAGCAAGATGCCTCATGCCCACTTCTGTAGGCTGTGCAAGGTTCATAATACTCTACAAAAACAGCTTTAAAGATTTTTGGTTGCAATAGATATTAAAATAAGGTAGCATCTTCCTCAGATCATGGGAGAGTAAGCTAGTTGGCTAATGAGGCCTGGGATCAAGTCTTCAGCCAACAAATTCCATATCTGAGATGATGCAGCATCAGAAAACTTACATGTAGGAGAAGTCAGCAGAGCGAACCCCCAAAAGCTTTATTCTATCAGAGGTGCTCAGCACTTACGTGGAGAGGAAATGGTAACTTTCTGAAAAGTAAACACACGATAGGGTGGCTAGGAAATTGTCAATTTATTTCTAGCCAAATACTTCAGTGTCAGAACTGAGGCTAAAATATTATAGCACCTCAGTCAGAATGCTGTGAAAATCCATCTTAGAAGACTGGAGAAAGTACTGAACCATACATGTTGAAATTCACAAGGGACATTTTTATGCTGCCCAAGGGGAGACAATCTCAGAAGAAGTTTTCATGAGGCTTCTTAGGAAAGGCCTGCGTTCTTGGACGGAAGTTGGCCCTTAAGTGTGTATATCCACTAGGACCAAGATGTTGTTCAATATCCAGGAAGCTGAGCTACAGAATTCTGGTCGTTTCCCTACACATAAAGATGCCTGTATCAGGTAGCATCCACCAGAACTCTTTCCCCTAGAGCTAATGGGCAATGAGAGAATCAGATGAACTTTGTTGTCTATTAAAGTGGAAAACCCTGAATAGAGGGTTCTGCTTGCTCGGAGACTCTGGGATGTGCTGGGGTCGCTAAACCCAGCTTCCTCGACAGCTGTCAGTAATAAAACTTCCTTAAGCAACTTTTCAGGGCCCTTCATTCAACTTATGCATGGTCTAGTAAATGTTGGCCCTGCTTCTGGGGTGCTGCCAAAACCAACCACTGGAGATTCTCTGCGAATCCCAACCGTAGACAGGCAAGTGTACCCTGCCCTTCCAAGCAGATCTGACCAGTTAGGTCTTCAAAGCTGTGGCCTATTTTTCTTGAAAGGTGGAGGGGAATGTGTGGCCTGTGCGTGAAGGTTTATTAAGAAGAGCACCAGGATGCAAGCTTTCTGAGGAGGGAAACTTCCCCGGGTGAAAACTGCAAATGATGTAGGTAGGTAGGGACCTCAGGGCAGGCTCGAATGACCCTGGGGCAAAGGATGGCAAAAAAAGGTAAGAGGGACTCTGCTGTGCGGACCGGTGTCAGCCTCGCGTTTTTGGGTGGACCCCGCTGCCCATCGCGCTCTTGGGGCGATCCCAACACAGGAATCCCTTCGGAACCCAAGCTTACCTGGAGGTAGGGCCGTCCGTGGGCCACGCCGCCCACAACGATGTCTGCCGCAGCCATGGTCCCAGTGGGCGAGAAGCCGAAGCCCACGTAACCGGTTGTGCGCACCTCCAGGCGGAAGGCCAGTCGCTCGCCCTGCCGGCCCCAGTGCAGCCAGTACTTGCCTTCGGGGTCGAGGACCACGCGGTGCGGGTACGAGCGGTCCGAGCTCCCCGCAGCCGTCGCGGGGAGCAGTGCCCACAGCACTAGCAGGGGCCAGCCGCGCATCCTCCTTTCCCACCGCACCTGGGCTGCAGCCACTGGGGCCGAAGACCCGGGAACCCAATTTGGGACCGCCCCAGGGCTGGCCGCGCCCGCCCGCTGTCCCCGCCCCCGCTGGCACTGGGTCCTACCAGAAGACTCCCGAGCCTCTCTCCAGGCATCCACCTGCAGCCACCGTGCATCCAATTTTGTCCCTGAAGTCTGGGTTAAGAAGGCGGGAAGACGAAGAGCTTCCTGGAAGAAACGGAGAAAAGGAGACCCAGCCGGGTAGAGGGAAAGAAGGGAAAAAGGAGTTGAAGTGCAGACTGCGAGGGATCTAGGGAAAGAATTGGAAAGTAATGGCATAGACGGGCATCCGGCTTTGGACCACGGGAGGGAAGAGACAGCTGGGAGTATCTGAGGTGCCTTGGAGAGAAAGTGAAAGCACCCCCCCCCCCCCCCCACCCCCAGATGGTAAAAGCAGTTTTCATACCTGGCAGTTGACTTTCCTCTGCTAGGGCACCTAGGGATGCCTGCTCATCAAGCAAGGCACATCCTCACCCTACCCACTTCCTTCAGTCTTTATTCTTCTGAGAGGAGGCAGGGGTGGTGGGGAGGTGCAATTCTTAGTTCTTTTGCTGATTTAGGAGCATTCCATCGGAATTTGATTTCTTCGATTTGGTGAAGGGATGACTTCTGCCTACGCATCAGAGGAATAGGTCAAGGTCAGCTTTCCTTTGAATCCCTTTACCCCCGACCCCTTCCACCCCCACCACCGATCCTTTTAAGTTTTGGCCATGGTCCTGTTAACCTCATGTCTTGCTTAGCTTGTTGGTCTTTGAACACAACACTCCTGTATTCCAGATGCTCAGTACTCATATTAAGGGCACATTAGATTCCTTATTAGTTTATGTACACTTTACCAGGTTTCAGAAACAAACTCTTGCCTGATTTAAAAAAACAAAACAAACAAACAAAAACCAAACAGGATAACAAATAAGGGAGGTCGGACCAAAATATGGATAAGAATACGGATAAGCACACTGATGCTCTCTGTATTACTTCTTTCCAAGCATATGGACATGTCAGCCTAGGGTGTGTGTGTGTGTGTGTGTGCGTGTGTGTGTGTGTGTGTGTTTCTATTGCTTCGGTGGAACAGCATGACAAAGCAAGCTGGGAAGAACAGGATATATTGGGCTTAACTTCGACATTGCTGTTCATCATCTAAGAAAGTCAGGGCAGGAACTCAAGCAGGAAAGAGATCTGGATGCAGGAACTGAGGTAGAGGCCATGGGGGGTGCTGCTTGCTAGCTTGCTCCTCTTGACCTGCTTTCTTACAGAACTCAAGACCACCACCCCAGGGATGGCACCACCCATGACAGGTTGGACCTCCCCCATCAATCACTAATTATGAAAATGCCTTCTAGGCTTGCTTACAGCCTCATCTTATGGAGGCATTTTCTTAACTGAGGTTCCTTCATATTAGCTGACTTTAGCTTGTGTCAAGTTGACACAAAGCTTCCAACACAGTGTGTATGTTTCTGTGTGTGTCTGAGTGGTGTGTGTGTGTGTGTGTGTGTGAGATGTGTGTGGCATGTGTGTATGTATGTGGTGTATATGTGTGCGTGTGTATGTGTTTGCGTGTGTATGTGTGTATATGTGTGGTGTGTGATTGTGTATGATGATGTGTATGTGTGCATGTGTATGTATGTGTGTTGTAAGTGTATGTGTGCATGTTTGTGTATGTATGTTTGTGTGTCCATGTGTATGTTTGTGTATGTATGTTTGTGTATGTATGTTTGTGTGTATGTGTGTGTATATGTGTGTGTATCTGTGTAAAACATCTTTAAGCTCTGTTAGAAGTCATCGAGCTTACTTTATGAAAACCAAATTATATTTACATGAAGCTAATTATTTAGTGTGGAGCTTACATTGTAGAAATTTTCAAAGTATTGAAGTTAGAGCTCAGATTTAGAGCAGTAGTAAAATCTTGAACATGGGAAATAACTACACACACATGTAACTCCTTTCTACCTGTGTTGACTAGACTACTTCAAAACCTTACCACCTACTTCTCAAGTATGCCCTAAATCTGCCACTTTCCCTATGAAGAGAAATGTTTATTGTTCTAGTTTCCAGTTTATTATTCCTAAAATAGCCATGATGGTGTCAATTAAGTTTTATATCAATATATTATGTATGTTATATATAAATATAGTCTTTTCTGAAGGCTACTTTGAGATGGAACTGCCTCCTGAAGGATTTGGGAAGTTGTCTGGAAAAATGATTTGTTCCTAGGGAAGAAGGGACTTCTGTCCCCAAGGTTAGCCAGTGACTACAGGACAGAGTGAGAAAGGAGAGATGTGAGAATCTTGGGTCAAGTTAGAGCTCTCAGAGTCTTGAAAGAGGTGGAGCAAGGGGTGTGGAACCCACAGCACAATTCTGAGGAGGTACTGAGTGGGACTGGGTGGCACCTATGATGCCACAGCGCCCTCTAGGGAGGTACTGAGGACAGCAGCATACAGTGGCAGCCTTCAAACTTCAACCTTCTACCAGGGCTTTGGCTGGTGTTGCTGGATTCCACCAGGAAAACAGAATGGTGTAGATAGAAAGAGTAAGAGAGCCAGTCAACACTGGAGACACAAGAAGTGGACTGCTGTGCCACCAGAGGCCGACTTCCTATGCTGAGTAACCTCTGCCTTTCACAGCAGGGATGTCAGAAGAATGAAAGCTAAGCTTTCTGTTTTGTGACCCTTTTGTTACCCTGGAAAACAACACATCAGTTAGTTATATGTGCTTCTAGTGGATTCCTATGTAAATTCTAAACTCACATCTACCAGAATATTTTGTCTTGTTCCGCAACTACGCCATGCCTTTTAAGATTTGACTAACATTACCGCTCTAGCTTCTCCCCATTGCTTGTCTCACTGAATCACTGGCTCTGGGTATATGCACACTCCCTCTACTGTGGGTCTGCATTCCACCAAACAAAACATTTCAACCTTGGGGTTTCAGGTTCCAGAAACCCCACAAGCAGATGTGGCAGAAGGTAGCCTAAGATGGGGATCCCAGCCCACATGAGAAATGACACAGGCTGGACCTGAAGCTGAGGCTCACAAACTCTAGGACACCCAGATGCTGCTGGAAACTGCAAGGAGTCAGGAATGGGGCCAATGAGCCCTGGGCAGGTATTGAGAGGATTGGCTTAGCTCAAGGGTGAGTGTACGCAGCACAGAGGGACCTTCTGTTGGAGACTTAGGTGGCCTGGGTCTGTATGAAGAAGGCTTCCCCTCACTGTGGTTCTTGATGAAAGAGACAATCCTTGCTTGCCCAAACTGTTTACTCATTGTACATTGTGGAAAATGTGTGTGTACGACTTTTTTCAGGGTGGACCAGTGGTTAAATATCTTTTGTAAGAAGGAATGTCTGGGAAAGGAAGCTTATTGGCTAAACACCTGAAGTCGTCCAACCTAGTTACCTCATTAGGATGGAGAACTCTGGGCTCTATGCTATGTGGCTAGTTGTCACGATCCTCACGTGGGGTGCCGTGGTCATATGCTCCAGGATAGGAACAACCGAGTCAGGAGTAGATGAAACGCTTACCATTCTCAGATATGAGAATTATCGGGGTTTCTCGATCTGCTCAACCTTCCTAAGGTTTGTCTGGTGACACTGTTCCACTTGCCCCACAATCTACCACTCTCATCGGACAGCCGTGTTGGCTCATGTCCTAACACCTTTATAGATTGCTTGCTCTGCCAGGATTGTTCTTTCTCCCCTCTGTCCTTGGAAATATTTCCTGAGTCTCTTTGCACATGTCTCAGTCAGGTGGTACCTGTTCCTCAGTGGCAGTGCATGAAGAATTTCAGATGTCCTATATCACCCAGTACACATTAATCCATGCACAGTCTGTGTGCATGCTTGGTCTCTTAACTGCCACATTGCCTAGCGAGCAGACAGGCAGGGAACAGATACTTAATGAACATTTGTAGGAAAACCAAGTCTAAACATCTCTAGGTTATCCTGTAAGAGTGTTGTTAACTAAGAGGGTTAGGGAGGGCAAGTGTCAGTGCTGTGATGGAATGCTGTAATTTACATGGGTATTGTAGTGGTTAGGAAGGAAATGGCCCCATAGGCTTATAGGGAGTGGCTCTATTAGGAGGTGTGGCCTTGTTGGAGTGGGTGTGGCCTGTTGGAGTAGGTGTGGCCTTGTTGGAAGACTGTGTTTCATTCTCTTCCTGCTTCCTACTGATCAGGATATAGAACTCTCAGCTACCTCTTCAGCACCAGGTCTGGCTGCTTGCTGCCATGATTCCTACCATGATGATAAACCTTTAAATTGCAAACCAGCACCAATTCATTTTTTTTTTATAAGAGTTGCTGTGGTCATAGTGTCTCATCACAGCAGTAGAAACCCTAACCAAGACAGGTATTAAAACAAAATATAAGAGACTATACATGAACACACATCAGAGAGAGCTGTAAGTTAGATTCATGAGGATCAAGGAGTGTGAAGTTATTGTCTCTTTTTTTCCAAGAAGGAAATAGGTTTTAATGATAACGTTAAATGTTAATATCATCAAATAAATGATTAAATTAAAATTACATAAATAAGCTGTTGGAAAATTCATGAAACAGTTTCACAAATAATCCACAGACAAGATGGTAACTATTTAAAGTTGCATGTATTTAATATTCACTTAAATAACGTTGGGTTTGTGTGTATGTGTCAATCAGCACAACAGCTCCCACCAGCCATGTTGACTGAGTGCAGTAATGGCATGGGCTTCTACATATTTCATTGAAAGTTCAGTTTGATGACACAAAATTTTTTATAAAAAGGCATTACTGTATTTTGTCTGTTGTAATTGGTGCTACAACTCTACCTTCTGGGGACTCAAGAAACATTAACACTAATGTATTCATCTTGAGCTTAACTGAACACATAGAAATCTATCAGCACAACGCCTACTCAAGAGAGACATGCTACTTTGGTTTGAAATAGCCAAGGTACTGTAAAATAAAAT